GAGGAGGACAGGGAGGAGAGAGTGAGATGCTGGCACTCTAAAACGGGGACCTGGCAGCAGCAAAAAGCAAACGATGCCCCTATGCAGAATGGCAATTTTAGGGTGCTTCAGTGAAGACCAGGGAGGTTTGTGGATAAGCACCAAGTGTGGCTGAGCATGAGCAGCAATGGCTGATTTAAGTGCCCCCATTCAGATTTCCAAGTGTTCCCAATGACTTATAGAGTAGGGGAATCATAGGCAACGAAATGCTTGTCCTCCCTCGCAACACACAGCCTTCCCCTCGGTTGTTCTGGTCCACGCTTCAATCAACTGCTAACCCAACAACTACTTTTTACTAGGGTTTATTTGCATGCATTGAGTCAACAGCTTTTTCCTAAACAAAAGGGGCAATTCAGAAACGTAGCGAAGACAGGACACCAAAACTGTGCAAGAGAAAAGGTTATATTTGCAACTTGCTGGCAGCCCAGTCTAGTTTCCCCCAAACTGTCTGTCTAAAAATGAGCATATATTGGCCATGCTTGCTTCTACCCTGAGAGAGGGATTAGAATAAAATGGCTTGTCAGACAAGTACATGCACAATAGGAATTTGTGCATCATCAGATTTATCCTCTCCTACGGTGGTTGCAGGGAGATCGTTCCAGGTGGTTACCCAGAATACAAGCAAAATCTGATCACAGCGAAGGCAAAAGGTGGTCACTCCAGAGCCCCTGGAAAGGAGGGCCAGATTGGAGACCTAGTTCTCATCTCAACCAAGTAAACGAGGAGTATTTGAATGCTGGTTAGACAAACACTTGTCTGGGATGTTTTAGACTGGGATGATCCTGCCTGGAGCAGGGGTTGGACTAGGGGTCCCTGCCAGTCCTACTTTTCTATGAATTCCCCCAAAGCTGGTGGAGTTAAACTGGTATAAACTGAGATGAGAACCAGCTCTCCCGGGAGATTTGGCTGGTTAGGCCTAAAAGAAGTGGAGCAGGAGGCAGCAGTAGTAGCAGAACTTCACATGACTGCATTTGATCTCGGCTTGTAACTTGGGTATGCCTAGAGCGATAATAAAAAGATTTAGCTCGAACAGATGCCGAGGGGTATTAGCAGGTGCGGGAGAAAGGGAAGCCTGAAACCTTGTGCCTGCTTTTGCTCCTTCTGAGTTTCCCTTTTGATGTGCTTTCTCATGGAGAGGATCATTAAATGGATGTTCACTCCATACGCAGGAAAGCTGTATTAGCAAACCGAATCTCTGCAGCAAGTTGGATTGAACCGATGAAGAGGGAAACAAGCCGCTTTCCCATTTGTCATACATAAAAGTTGGGCAGAACGAACACCAATCTATGAAATCCTTTACCCATTTGAAAGAAAAGGGAGGCCACGGTTGTGTTTGAGGCCAGCACTGTATAGCATTTATTGGAGCAGAGAGTTATTTGTCCTGCAGCAATGACACAGTAAGCAATGCAGGGAGCACATTGATTGTCTGCATGCCATAAATAAGCGGAGCTATCATTAAACAGAGAAAACTAATCTCCTCTCACATGTATACAGCCGGCATAACTGTTACGGGTTGGAATCTCCTGTTATTAAAATGTCTGCACAAATGAGAACGTGGATGTTTCGTCTCCCACATGTCAGGCCTGTGTCTATCATTGCCTTATTTGTGATTTGTTATAAATACTTTATGTACAGCTATTTCCAATATATGCTATTTTTTTAAAAATGCTGCTGCATTGCAAAACTTTAAAAACCATGCAGGTGCATGAGACAGGCTTCGTCTTCCTCAGTTTGCCCGGCACCTAACACAGCCCTGGTCCATGTCTAGAGCCGTTCTGGACACCACACATTCACCAGTTGTACAGTAATCTCCCCATCACGCTTTGCTTCACAATTTTGAACCAATAAATGGTGCTCTAACTGTGACTCAGGGGAGCGTTTTGAAAGAAGTTAATTTGCTTTGTGAAATATAATGGCTGTAGCTCCGGCTTTTACAGTTTGCTCAGGATTTCCTAATGCTAACCAACTCTTCAAAGTCTTAAACCCTAAGGAAATCATCAGACAGAAAATCTGTTCATACTACAGTACTCAGAAGCATGTGCATTCAAAACTAAAAGCAATGCCATGGTCTTAACGTTGCCAGTCATTGCTGGGGCCAGCACATTGATATTATTTGTTGCCTAGCTTTTGACAGAGGGATTTTTCACCTGGTGGGAGAACGAGGGAAAGTACCGTACTTCACATGAAGCGATCACTGAGCCCGTACAAGCAGAAGAGCAGACCCAGTGCCATTTATTCATTTTCTCCAATGGTTATTTAATGCAAAATGTATAAACAGTCCCAGGAGCAGGGATCTGAAACGCTGGCTCACTCCTCCTTAGGGGAGGGCCCCCATCACTGGGTTACATTTGGATCCCCTCTTGCTTAGTCTCCTTTTAGCCCCTGTTGGCTTCTGGGTTTCAGCAAGAGAAGGGGAGAGTGCCCTGAACTCAGCCGAGAGCCCTGTGGCTTGAACACTTTCATGGCAAGTGGGAGATGTGGGTTGTAGCCCCTCCGGCTGAGCTGGGCCTCCCATCTCCTGCATGCAAGCTCTAACCGCTAATGGGACTGGGGACATGGTGGGCTTCCCCTCACCTGGTTGCAATGCAAGTCCATGGCTTTGGGTGAAGGGGGTCAGGCTGTGCATTCTGCCTGAACAGAAGTGCCTATTTCAGACAAAATTTAAGAGATGCACCCGTGGGTTTCCTATGCGTGGGTCCCTGCATCCCTCACTGTGTTGCAACATCTGCGCTGAATCCCAACCCCAATGTGCTCAAGTCACTCCATTCAAGGCATCGGGATTTAGCAATCGCACAACTCGGGTGCCTCTTGCAGAGCCCTGCACCGGTCCATTTTTAGGCGGTCAGCCCATGGTACCTCCCCCTCCTGCCCAGGATGCTGAAACTCCTAGATACGCCTCTGGGATTTAGGACATCTCACTGGGGTTTTTGAATTACACACCTGGGCACGTGTCTGTATTTTATGCAAGATGATTCACAGCTTTGCCTCAACTAGGTCCCTTTTCAAGTCTGGGCCCAGGTGACTAAAATGTGGGTGCTGCAGTGAGTAATTTGGAAATGCACAAGCCACTGGTAAATCTGGCCCCACAGCAAGCAAAGGGAAGCAGCTCAAGTATAACTTAATATTGCTGTGCCTTCTTTGGTACGGTTTTGTGTTACATGCTAGATGGCACATGCCAGGTTGTTTGTGCTACAGCTGCAAGCACAACCAGGCGTTATATTTAAAGGAAGCATTTTTACAATATAGAGCAGCCGACACGTTGCAAAGTGGCTCTCCTATGTTCTGCAAGAGCCCCGTCAATGTACAGCGGATTCATTTTTCCGTCTGTGTTAGAATTACAGATGGAAAAAATGTCCACCCGGACTGATGCAATTCATCAGCAAGTCCCAAAACCTCTGGCAGCAGAATTTCCACTTTAAAGTCTGATGAAATGCCTGATTGTTTTAGCCTATTCTGTGCATAGTGCTTTACTGTTAGCAACGTTTAGAACATTACTCATTTATTCGAGTCCGAACAGAAATCCACTGTTTCTACAAATGTAACTTGAAGCTACAGTCTGGAATACAGTCTTTCTGGTTTAACATTGCACATCTCCACCTTGACTGCAAGTCCAGGCTTTGCCAATTTAATCTCTAACATTTTTAAAAACCAGCTTGCCTGCAGATAGTCGGATAGTTTACGACCAAAACTTTAGTTGCTGTTCATTGGAGGTGCTGTCATCAAGATGATACACAGATCCCCAAGAACCGATTCTTGGGTTATTTCTTGCTAACACATGCTTGGGCAGCAAATGAAAGCACCATGAAACCGAATGGGCGTTTATTTAATTTTAGAACTCAGTCCAATTTCTCACTCACCCTAATCTTTTCCAGAAAGAAATAGATCACACCAGAATGGATATTGCCCAGCTGGAATAGGTCACAGCTCATTTAGGTGTCAGATAATGGACTTACTGAAAACCACAGAGGAAGGCAAAATTCCTCCCTATTGCTTCAGGCTAACATCCTGCCAGAGACACTTTCCTCTCCAAAACAGCTAACAGCGATGGCCTCGTGGCGTCCCTCCCAACCCTAATTTTCTACGAATATTCCTAGTGATGGGGAGCGAAGTCCATTTCCACTGCCAAAGTTGTCTGGGTTATCAGTCCATTGACAAATGCTCGCTCTCACATCTAGCCCTCATGCATAACATCTAAATATTACAGTAACAGGAGCTTCACAAATGCTTGCAAGGACTAAGCAAGTGTATTCAGCCAACACTTTAAATACAGTTGACCTTATCACTTTTGAAAGACCATGCCTCCTTTCCAGGCAGAAGGGCAAAGGGTACATTAGTGGGGTCATCTAAGGGAGAAGGCCGATGACAGATGAACCACTCCATATATAAGACTTTCTGTCTGCCTCTAGGGACAGGAAAACAAATGTTGCCCTCATTAGTATACATGCTGCCGTGGTATACGTGAGTACTGATTTAAGCTCAGGGACTTTTATGAGCGCTACTATGCTTTATCTGTGCTAGACGAACTGACCCAGCCTTACAAAGGAGCGGAAGAGACAATAAGCGGCGTGCAGTCCTGGGTCCCCTGCCCCATCCATTTACAACAGACCTGTTCATTCAGGCCCATAGCAAGAAAGAAAGTTACACTTCCATGCAATTTAAAAACAACACTGCATCTCCGACTCTCTTCTTTACCGACTCATCGTGCTTCTACTTGTATTGCAGTCGATCCCAACAGCTTCAGCCACATGACAAAGAATTAGACTGTAAACTCTCCTCCCAAGCATTTTGTGGAAAGCGTCAAAAATGGCTATTTCTGAAAAGGCTCAGGCCAGATCCGGTCCAACAGCAGCATTTCAAAGTGTTAAATAATAGGAAGTCAGCCACTTTCTCAGCTGGAGCTCTGCAGCACCCAATGCAACCCCCCGTTTTGATAGACAAACACAAAAGACCCCGCTACTTACTGTCGGCTCATATGTTCGCAGAGTCGTGCTCACGCCGCAATCCTGAAATCTGCCTATAATAAGAGGAGAAAGCCAAGTCGCAGAGACACTTCGGAGTTTAAACTGTTTGTGCTGCAGCTGTCCCTCCGCCCCCAAGACCCAGATGTCTGATTCACGTAAATATTTCAGCTTAAAAGTCCTCTGCCAGCATGTCCCGGAGACAGTGGACGCTGCTGTTTGCATATGCAAGGCTGTATGCAAAAAATGCTCCCAGCATTATTTCAAATTGTGGTGTATTCAAACAGCTTTCTGCTGCCTTTTTCTTTTCGTAGAGATGCAGCTTTATTTCCCTCTTACAAATACAAAATTCCCACGTTAAGGAACTGCGGGATAAACTTCCAAAGGCCTGAATTATAGGGTCACGTGCAAAAACACACATGTGACTGTGTTTGTTTTCATTTATTGCAACAGATTTTGGATCAAGGACTTAATCTCCACACACTGTTATTGGGGATGAGTTAGGCATTTTCATGCACAAATGACCTTTTAGGCACTTGGTTCACAATCTACAGCATCGTGGGACTGGACTGATGTAGTTGCGATGGACCAGGAAATATATGAGAAAGAAACATTTTTTTGAACGGGGTGATATCATTTATTGAACTGACGACTGCGTAGCTGGGGGAGAGATTCGCTAAGCTTCCAGGCACAAAATGGATCAAAAACTGAGCAAGGGCATTTTGTATGCAAAAGCATGTCTATCATCTCTTCCAGCTGTACCGCTGGTCCAGTAAAAGATATCGTATTACCACACACCTATTGCTTCTCTCAATCTCCATACGCTAATACTCTACATTTGATTTAAGTGCATAACCTCGGGACTGAAAAAGGCTACGCACTTACTGAAATTTAATATAAGCGCTGCACAAGCTTCACAACCCTGGAGTATTAAGAGGTCTGAAATGACAAGCACCTGCCAATTTCAAGGCTCTTAAGAGTCACTTTCAGGGCTGCTGTTACTCAGGGAAATGAGTTCTTGCACTTATCTGGTGCTGCTGGCCCCAAATCCACGCACACAACGGCAGCACTCCCATGCAGCACTGCAGGGGTATTACTGCATGGTACTGTATTCTGCTGCAAATGAGACCCTGAATCAATAGGTCCTTAGATGCTTTCCTGTATGATGCATGCTTGGATGGCTCAGAAGTAGCCAAATGCAGATGTCATTCCAGAAAACAGAACTTGTACCACTAAGTACATTTGCTTTTCAGTATAAATATTACAAAGTAGGGGGAGATGTGGGAAAGAGCCCTTAGTCTCATGCGTTTCAACCAACTCGGTCAGTTTTAATTCTGAATACAGCACTAAGCAGACATTAGGTAAGATTCCCCTGCCTTTAATTGCTTCTCCTAACGCACACAAAGCCAAGCTGCCTGTCATGAGAGGCTGTGGTGAAACAGGGAGTGAGGACACGTCTGGTTGTTGGTTAGCTTTTATTGAACAAGCAGTGCAAGGGCGCTCGTTAATCAGAAGTGCCAACAAAAGGGAAAGAAGGGAACAATAGACCTGGAGAGCAGCCAGCGGCTGCGGTGGGGGTGGGTAGGTGAGGGGTGATGCAGCATGGGATCTTTGGAGGACTAATTCAACTCATGTCACAGAAAGCTTGGCGTGTCCACATGCTAATAGTGAACTGGATCTCAGTGAACCAGTTTAAAATAGTATTTGATTTTCCAGGTACATGTTTGAACCACTCCAGATTTTCCAGGTACACGTTTGAACCACTCCAGGCTGTTTTGAACTGGTTGAAATTGGCTGCTCTCTATCTGCTTCAGGTTTAAATTGCATTTAAACCGTTCTAAGTGCCGTATACGTCCATGCCCTGAGTTCACTAAGTGCCTCCTCCCAGTCCAAAGTGTGCACCAGGGGCCAGATCGTATGTCGCTTACCCAGTTAGCACTTTTGTAGCCTCAGAGCTGCTATTTTTGGCACCCACACGCAGTTTGCAACCCTATGCTGAGCACAGTGTGGACACACAAGCTCCTGCAAGACTCCTGAGCATGCGTCTTGGAGCTGTTTTCTGGCCGGGCGGTTATGCGGTGCCGCACACTCACCCAGCTACATACGCAAGTCCTGAAATTGTAGCCAGGCAAAAACCCCATGACTAGCATGCGTTAGATGCCACAGAAGAAGGGGCCCTCCCATGTTTTAACTCAAAAGCCTCATGGTCAGGGCTCTCATTTAGGTCCTACGTCCCCCCCCTGCAATGGACTTGAACCTAAGTTCCCAATACAGAGCTTGAACCAGACAGACTGTCCAAGCCCCTGGGGAAATACGTGGGGCCAAGGAGAGCACAAGCTGGAGACTGACTCAGGTCCAGCCTGGACCCTTCCTCAAGGGACAGAAGCTCCCTGTTTTCTCCAGTGACTATTAAATGCAAGGTGCAGTGGCTCAGCTACATGAGGAGGGCTGGAGAAGGGACTGAATAATGACCTGGGAGTTAGAGCAGTGCACTGGGAAGCAGGAGAGGAGTGTGCTGCAGTGACTAATTTGGAAATGCCCAAGCCGCTAGTAGATCCCGCCCCACAGCAAGCAAAGGGAAGCAGCTCAAGTATACGTTAACATTGCTGTGCCTTCTTTGGCATCGTTTTGTGTTACATGCTAGATGGCACATGCCAGGTTGTTTGTGCTACAGCTGCAAGCACAACCAGGCGTTATATTTAAAGGAAGCATTTTTACAATATAAAGCAGCCGACACATTGCAAAGTGGCTCTCCTATGTTCTGCAAGAGCCCAGTCAATGTACAGTGGATTCATTTTTCCATCTGTGTTAGAATTACAGATGGAAAAAATGTCCACCCGGACTGATGCAATTCATCAGGGAGCTGAGAACTGAGGTCTCCCACTTCTTGGGAGCCTTAACCAGTAGGCTACTGGGTGAAAATACTGGGGAGCCCTCACCCTCATTCACCTACAGGGCATTTCCAGCAGGTATGCATCTCACCGAAGAGTGAAAAGTCCCACTTACATAGCTGGGAAAGTGCCGTTTGGCTCTGTAAAATGAAACAGGATCTGAACCTTTAGATGGGAAGAGTTAAAACCCTGTAAATGTACACCCTACCTTACTAAACAGTAACTCCCCTTTGTGGACAAACCCTCAAGGAAACCCAGAACTGATGCACCGACAACACATTAAAATATTAAAATCGATTTTCTCGCATTTGTTACATAAGACAATAATTAAAGAACTTTTTTTTTAAAGTCGTGACTTATTTTTGGCTTCCCAAAACATCTGCAAAGTACAGATTCAGCTCACAATAGTTACTCACCCAGGCTCTTATTCTAAAAAGGCTACGAACAATTTCAAACTCCACCTTCTCTCTCTGGAAGGAATCCCAGGGACTAAATGCTAACTCATTCCACCCAGCTCATCTGCTACCGTGTTAACTGCCACTGGTTTTTTAACCAATGACATGACAGTAGCTAAAATCAAAAGTGCAGAGTAGTTGCACCAAGTTAGTGGTCCTATTAACTGCAGAAAATCCCTTCTCAAAACTGAGCATAGTCAGCTCCTAAGAAAAGTCGGGAAATTACATACTGTTTACATGAAATGCTGTTTCAATCAAAAGCGTCCTAGCTTGAAACACGTGCAGAACATCTAGGCTGCTAAGAGGAAGCTGTTTCAACACACGGGGATATACCTGAGCTAGCTCTAATCTAGCTAGCTGGTACTGTCAGCACTGAGGATGAAATGACATGTGCTACCTGCCAGAGTAAGTCCTCAACTTGCACTTCAGCTGGCCTATATAAACTGTGCTATGGCATACGGACTGTAATTATTGGCTGTGCTGGCTAGATTAAAGCTTTCTTAGGTACCCAGCCACCTTCTGATTACAGTGTACTTGCTATCTGTCTGCTGAGAACTGGGAAACTTGGTACGCGGAGGAATCATGGAGTTACTAAAGGGGTGTGTGTGCGCCTTCTAGGAACGACGTACTGAGTGGTCTGAGTCCTTCTTGGCACAGATGATCCAGCCCCGTGACAGCTGCGCAGAGCAAAACCAGAGGTAAATTCCTTTTTTTTTAAAAAAGCAACAGGGTAGCAGGGGCAAACGGAGCAAGTGTGACCTTGTTGACACGGTGTGACTTTAAGAGTTTTAGTTAGCACAGTGACAGCTGCTCCAGGGAAACATGTTTTTTATCTTTTTGAGACCAGCACCTTGGCTGGGGTAAATCTTCCTACTGCCAATCAATGGTCCTGCACCACTTTCACACCACTTGTGATCAAAGTGTTTACAACAGCCAAGTCTCTGGCTCCAGGTTTCATAATCACTAAAGTTTACCCGAGTTTGTGGGCAGGATGCCTCCTGTTCTGTTTACGGGGCTGGACGAACATTTTGTGCAAATGGATAAATATTGTGCTTTCTAAGAATATTTCAATTCTATGAATTCTGTTCCCTCTCAGATAAATATTTGGTGCGTGCAATGGGTTTCAACCACAATCCACGGGGGAAATGCATCCAGATTTTGTGGGAATCCACAGAGACCGAGAAACCTGCCAAAACACACAAAACTGACACCTCCTCCAACATTATAAATAGGCGCTTGTGTGAAGTGCATGCATGTGGGTGCCAGTATGGTTCTGTAATACTCTTGCTCTTGAAATCTGAAAAGTTGCTAAACTCAAGTGCACTCTGGAGGACAAAACAGTCCATTCATGCTCATTTTCAGTTTGTTTGGCTTGGCAAGCGTTCCCAGGTTGTCCGGGCTTTAGTTGAAATGAGGGTCTGTTATGTGAGTGGTTACCTCAAGGGGGCATGACAAGAGGAAAATCTAGGATTTTTAGGAAACCAGGAGCTGCAAAACAGCTTTCCTTCAAAGGAAATTCTGCTCAATAATTGAGTGAGTTCACATCTAAGCTGCGACACCTATTTTCATGGACAAGATTATCTCACTCGGGAGCCTGGATGGCTCAGACAAGTAGAAACAGACACAGAAAACCTCTTTATTATTAAATTTGGGGTTTTAATCCAATCGAGGCTGGAAGTGACCAAAAACTGTTGACATCTAATGGCTGTTTTGTGACCATGAAGCGAGCTTGATGTGCTTAGTACAGCTCACAATAGGATATGTGTCCACAGCGCAAAA